CAAGTTGTGTAAATAAAAATTGATCATTAATGACATAATTAACATCACATAATATTAATAAATAAAAATAAAAAATTCCACAACACTATAATTTCGTTAGAATAAGTAAATCAATTTTTTAAAATAAAAACCTCGGACTTGGTTGTCGGCGCATCATGTAATTCTTATTTTTTCAAAATAATTGATGGTAATTATTCATTATTAGTTAATTAATTGTCTCCAGCCTGATATATGTGTGTAATCGATATATCTAATAATTTCTGGCAAGTAATTAGAGACACGGAAGTTAAGGCCAAAGCAGAATAGAAACGTTACTGGAATCGCAGTCATGAACGGAAGAACGAGTTAGAGAAGGATAAAAATATACCTATCTTTCTCTAACTCATTCTTCCGTTTATGTCTGCGATGAAGTTTACGATTACGACGCAATTGAGCCTCTCAATTCGATAACTCGATCTACGCTCGGAGGCACGCGCTAATACCAGTCGGGTAGCAGTGAGCGCCTCTGGGCCTGTCACTGCTACCCGACTGGTATTAGCGCGTGCCTTCGAGCGTAGATCCAGTTATCGAATTGGGAGGCTCAATTCTGCTCAAGCCTTTACAAGAAGTCAGTTAGAAATAGAATAAGAAAACATGCAGATAGACGACAGCCGGCAAATTTTTAAGCTCAGGGGAAGTTTGGGAGAGGTAAGATAAAAGAATGTTCTTGGTTTAAGACTTCTTTCTGCCTAAGGGCCTACACAACTAGTCCGGTACGTAAAGGTGCTTTTATACCTCTTTTCTTTTCGATCAACGATTTACTGGACAAATTTTATGAATGGTGAAAATGCGTAAAAAACTATTTTCAGGCGGGTATTTTTGAATTGTTTTGAATAGAAAATGTTTTTTTTAAGAAATATAATGTAACTCAAATTTGTCTAATATCTAAAAACAATAGGAAATAGTGATAGAAAGCTGATTGTTTAATAATATTCAGTAAACTTTGGTTTAAAACGTTTTCTCTTATGAAAAAGTGTTAAAGCACGACGTTTGTGAAATGGTTTGCACATTGTGCCTTTATTATGAGTGTCTCGTGGATTTGTTTATGTTTTGTTGTTTTTTAATTTTGAGATTAATGCGATGAATGCTGAAAACAAATCGGTAAGTTAAAATGTTTATTGAAGAAATGTACATCTAACTAATTCTTTACTCGTAATTTATATAGCATTTGTGCTTCAATGCTTCCGCATTAAATTTAATTACTTTATTGCACCAAATGCAAATAACCTAATAAAAATATTAAATCATAAGCCAATTTTTAAAAATGTATATGTATATGAATTTGAGCACAGAAAAAAAAATAGTAATATTTACCCAGAATTTGAGGTAAAGTTTACTTGCAACAAAAATTACTTTTCCCTTGTTTCATGTATAATTGTAAAGATTTACTCTTACTTCATGAGTAATAAATGTTCGTCACATGACACATTTGTATATTAAAATCTAGTCTATCAGACATTAAAAAAAAATCTATTAAGAAATAAATAAAGCATTATATTGATAACGTCGGTAACATAAAAGAGAGCATGATATTTTGCAAGTTAAAAAAGTTAATTTGAATAATCGTAATGGTACTGCAGTTTTGACAGATAAGATATCGATTACGGTATGCTATCGATTTTTGAATATCGATTATGGTAAGCTATCGACTTATGATCATGCGCTGTCAGTTAGTCTGTCAGGAAAGACAACTTATCCAAATTATGTGTTTGTTTCTTTAAATTTGCCAATTTTTAAAAAAGGTAAGTAATAATAATATAATATTATATTGTCAAAGTATTATTATTTCTTTTATAAAAATTATATTTATTGAATTTGAATTTCGTCTACTTTATACGACCAATCACAGTTAAAAAACAGGAAAGATTCCTGAATTTATTTCATCAACCAATCAGAAAGTAGTTCACATATCACGACTTGGAATAAATGACTTGATGTTTATATCTTTTAGGTTGACAACGAATCTCAAAGAGAATAAACAACGCCATTAGATTCATTTCGTTTCGTGTCATAAAGGTACAATGGAGCGTACAATTGACGTCGTTTTTCTAACCTGCGCATAATTTATTATTAATAATAATTTATTTCATCTGGATACTGTCTGATACTTTTAAAAGTACTGCTAGTATAATAGACGGACAAAAATATTTATCCATCTGGACGGACGACTAGACACTTCGTTTATAATTACAGGTAAAATTCTGAATTTAATTTTTTTAAAATCTCTCAAAATATTTATTTTAATTCTTTTAAATTTCATTACTTAGACCTTAATTGCATGATATTTTCGATTTCTTTTAATAAAATATGACTTTAATTTAACTTTTTTTAAGACAAGTTATAACGAAATACCATTTTTTTAGTAGGTTATGTTTGTTGACAATTTTAACCTCATTGTACTTAATTTTTAATTATCTTAAAAGAAAATTTCTTATTGTTGAATATCTTCGATGTAAAGAAAACTTAAATGTAAATAATTATTATTGAGAGTTAATTCTATTTTTTGCTCAAATAATTGCAAACATAACCTAAATTTTTCTGCATTTTCTTGCTCATGTCAAGTCACATTTTTAATTAAGTTTTTATAAAATTTAATCATTGCTTAAAATTTTGTTCATAATATTCTGTAACTCAAATTTACGATAATTTTTATTAAAAATCTAGTGAAATTCTATTAGGTATGTCTAAAATGTATGTATATTTGTTTCTTTATTGTGTGAAAATTATGTCTTCAACTTAATTTGATCTCTTTTTTTCTTTTCCAAACTTTTTCTATTATTGATAAAAGAATGTTTATCTTTTTATTGAATAAATAAATTATTTTCTCTTTGATCATTTTTTTCCAACATTAATTTAATTTAATTTTTCTGCGTAATGATTTCATATAACATTAGATTCAAGTTCAAAGTAGTAGTTTTTTAATTTCATTTGTTTATTCTTGTGCGGTATGATTTCCAAAAATTTAATTTTTTAAAACAAAATTAGAGAATTTACTATTAAAACTGCACAACATTTTTCTCAAACATGTTACATTATACAAAATAAAATTTTTTTTGGGTTAAATAAACTTTCATTATAAATTGTTATTTTCTACGTAGAAAAATAAATGGTTTTGATTTTTTATTACTTTCTGCAACGTGTTTTAAATTGACAAATTATAAAATAATTTATGTATTATTCCTCTGAAATAATCAAAATTAAGAACCTTCAACTTTCATTATTTTGATAAAAAGTTGTATGGTACCATACAAACATACAAATTGAAAAAAGGAAAGAATAAATTATTTATTAACAACAAATATTTAAAGCAAGCAAAACAATTTAAATATTTATATTCACCTCCTATAAATTTTTTTACAAAATAAAATTTAAAAAAATTTGGTTCAAAATAGCTACTCGAAAAATAACAATCATTTTATTTTGTATTTTATTTTGTAAAAAATAATGTTTATTGCGAAAAATATTGTGCAGTTTTAATATGAACTTATACTGAGAAAAATTATTTCTTGACATTGATTTACAAATAACAAACAACAAATTAACAGCCAGATAATAATTAAGACCGAACTACCTTCTCATGAAAATATGTTTAAGCCCGCATAAAACAATCTGCATAGTCCTTTCTTATTTTTCATTAAAAAATTTTACATGAAAAAATTGACATACAATACTATTCTTTTTCACATCTGGTTTTTTAATACTCCGTAGTGTACATATTCCAGCTTCTATTGCTTTATTGCTCGATCCACACTAAAAAACTATCTTAAAATGAGAGGAATGTAAGAATATTTACCTTAAGGGCATGTCCAACATGTCTAATGTAAACAAACATGAAATGTAAACAAACCATGCACACTTTTCCGCAATGGAGATTATTCTTCTCAAGTTAATAACACAAGGTTTACAGAAAAAGGGTAACGATTATCTTCTTCAAAAAGTGTTCTTCAAAACATTTTGTTTATATAGAAGGTTATTAAATTTTTATAAAATGAATGATAATAATAATTGGGTGCCTTAAGACTAGAAAGTTATATTTCCGATTTTTTCAGTAATTAGATTTTAATTCATATAATTTTATTTCGGTCAAATGAAGCATGTGGTAGAGAAGACAAAAGTTTTAATATAAAAGTGCCAATGTAAAAATCCAAAATGTTTGATTTTTCCATAGGACTTACTTCAAAAATTTTTTTTTCGGTGAGCATTTTTTTAAAAGAATACTTTCAAAAAATTTTTTTATTTTTTCATTATACCTGTAAATTCTAAAAAGTTCCAATTTTCATACAATTACAGAATTGTTTAATAAGAAAAATTTTAAATACAATAATTTAATCACTTTTTAGTATTAAATCAAGTAATTTCTGTTTTTAGTAAGCTTCGATAGATAAAATATTTCATTATTATGAAAATAAATGTAACAATTAATACAATAACAAAAAATATGAAAATTTCGTATCTGTATGGAAATAAATAGAAAAAACTTGTAAATTTTTATTGAAATATTGCAAATGAAAACTATCCTTAATTTTAAATTAAATCAATATATTATTTGTCTTAACAATGTAAACAAAAAACAATGCATTATATCCAAAATAAGAAATTAGAGACACTCTGTTTAATTTTGAATTTTTTCTTTAAAATTTTTTCTTGAATTTTTTCTTTTGGCACTTTTGTATCCCAATCCAAAAATGTTGACATTTCAGTAACTTTCCATCTCTTTCCATGCATATTTTTTTTAATTACCTGTCTATTTATCTGTGTCATACTATTTGTCTCTCCTATTATTAACTATTTCTTATCTCATTCCTTCTTAATCTCCTATATCTCTATCTATTTGTCTCTGTTTTTGTTTTAGGGTCATTTTTTATTCGATATCTATTCAGATAAAATGTGCTATACTCTTTTTAGTGATAACATATTTTTATTTCAGCTAAAATATTTAAATTACACAATTGAACAATATCATGGAACCAGATATGCCAGAGGATAATATTGTATGTCAGTTCTGTCATAAAAGATTTTGTAATACAAGACAGTTGGTTGGCCATCTTGTTAAAATACATGTCAGTCAACCTAATCTCCATTGTACATATAGAGGTTGTACAGCTGTGTATAAAAATCCTAGTTCCCTTAGATCACACATTAGTCGAAAACATAGGGCACTTTTGCCTCATGATATTTGCAACGCTAATGGTAAAAATGTTGAGCCGAATAATATTGGCCATTCTGTTGATAATCCTGATAATGAAGCAATTCCCGAATCAAATGTTAATAATGATGTTCCGTGTTCTGAACTCGTTGGTGATTATGATGATCTTGTAAATAATCCTATTTTACAGCCTAATGATGGTGATGATAATCCGTTTTGTGATCCCAATAATGATCCCGATAGTCATCCAATGTTATCTAATAATAACAGTGATCCAAGCGATGATCCTGACAGTGATCCAAGTTCAGAGTATAATGATGATGATGGTGATGGTGACGATGATGATGATGGTGATGAATATGATCCCGATAATGACTCGAATCCAGAGCCTAATGATGCTGATGATGATGGTGGCGAAGAAAGAAATCCCTTGAAGCACGCTCTTGCCAAATATATACTGTATTTAAGAGGTTGTACAAGAGCTACCAACAATGATGTTATTGGAATATTAGAAAGTGCTCAGGAATTAATTGTTACATATGTGGAATATTATTTAAACCAAGTTCAAACACTTCTACAAGAATCTATACGATTAAACATAAATGATTATATAAATATAGAAGAAACTGTTCGAAGTATAGATGCCATCCACGATCTTAATACTATATATAATCAGGATAAATACTTTAAAAAAAATTTTGGGTTAGTGATACCTATGAGAAAACAATTAGGGGCTGAGTTTCAAAATTACAGTTCATCAACTAATGATGGCAATCAACGCATAAAAATAAAAAAACATGAAATGGTTCAAATTTCAATAAGTGAAGTTTTGTCAAAGTGGCTTTCAAATGGTTCGTATGCAAATTGCATACAGGAACAAATCAGACGTGATGATGATGTTCTATCTTCAAGCTCAGATGGAAGTCATTTTCAAAACCATCCCTTTAAAATAATGAGACCTAATGCTAAGTTTATTAAGCTTTACTTTGATGAAGTTGAACTGTGCGACTTAGCTGGCTCTAAGTCTAATTTTATGCATAAATTAGGTATGTTTTATTGGATACTCGATGACCTTGCTCCTGCTTACAAGTCTCAACTGAAATTTATTAATCTGGCGGCAATAGTACCAAGTCCCTACATAAAAAAGTATGGAATGAATGAAGTTGTGTCATATTTGCTTACCGATCTTCAAGAGGCAGAGAATGGAGTAAATCTTCCCAACGGAGAAAATATATACTGTGGAGTATCATCGTTTATTGGTGACAACTTGGCATGTCATCAGATTGGAGGCAGAAAGGGATCATTCAACTGTAACCATCCTTGTCCATATTGTATGGCACCCATCGATCAGGTGCGAACTATGACTGCAGAAATTGCAGAGCTTTTGCGCACAGCTGCAGAGGATGACCGCCAAGTCTATGAAATTGAAAATGCTCCTGATGAACGAACAAAAGCTTTTTTAAGAACAGAATACGGGATAAACACAAGATGTTTACTTAATGATCTAATCGGTTTTCACTACACAGAATCCTGCCCTCCAGACCTGACCCATGATGATGATTTAGGAATTTGCATTGTAACGATCCGTGCATTTTTGAAAGAGCTATGTTTGAATCTAGAATCAATAACATTAGATGAAATAAATGACCGAATCAGAGATTTTGATTATGGATATTCGGAAAAATCAGCAAAGCCATCAAAAATAACCCGAGAACAATTATTGGACAAAAAAGTAGGATTTAAACAAACAGCTGCTCAGATGATTATGTTAACGTTTATGCTTCCGTTGATTGTGATCAATGAGGTGCAAAGAGACTGGCTTCCAATGAAAAATTATCTGTTGATGCTGGAACTTATTCTAATCTCTCATGCACACGAAATTAATATTCCATCTTTGAATTATTTGCATTTAATAATTTCTGAATATTTGGAAACTTTTCAAACAACCTATAACGAGACACTAACTCCTAAACAACACTTCTTGGTGCATCGTTGTTCCTTGATTTTAAAGTTTGGACCACTGATTCATTATAAGACCATCCGAATGGAAGCTGAACATCAGTTTTTTAAAAGAATTGCACAAAACTTGCGAACTTATAAAAATTTGCCACTAACTCTTGCTCGGAAACACCAGTTAAGACAGACAGCCTTGCTTTCAGAAAGTCTTGAAAATGAATTAAAAACTGGACCTATAAAGCAAATTAATTTGCAGAAAACGGCATTTAGAGACCTGTTCCCAGACGAAAATTTTGTGCAGACAACAAGTTGGGTGAAAATTAACGGTATCAAATACACAGCGTCAAAGTGCTTCATTGCAGTTTCCTACAGTGAAGAAAATTTGCCACAGTTCAGAGCGTTGCATAGTATCGTGTGGCAAAATGGAGTACCTATATTTGTTTGTCAAAAAGTTAATACGTTGGAACTTGATTTATTAGTAATGGCCTACAAAATAGAAATTTCAAATGATTTCATAAATCACATATTTGAAGACTTTTTGTCGTATGAAGTATTCCATTCACATCGACAAGGCAATCAAACTTTTATTATTTTGAAAAAAGCACTAGGTCCTTTATATTAACAAGTCAATGGAATCAATGAGAAGGTAGTTTCTTTTTAAATAACATTGCTTTTAAAATTTTTTATTCTATATAATAATTAATAATTGCTTTCATAGGATGTCTGAGTTACCAAATAACAATGTAAAATAGTTAACTTTCTGGAAATTTTTCACTAAAACTATTTAAACAATTCTCTTTGCTCTTGTGTCATTCAATCTTAAAATTTTGCTAAAAAAATAAAAAAACTGTCAAATTGGTTCTGTAGTTTTGAAGAAAAATTTACCAAATTATTAATAATCAAATATTACATAAAAGCCAAATTATTGAAGTTTTCAGAATAAAACGGATTTTTATTTGATAATTGTTACTTAGGAGTTTTTGGGGTCGCCGATTACAAATTTAATGATAGATTTCAAAAATTCATTATAGCTGGTGCAATAAGGTGGACATAAATATGAAAAATCGTTCATATTATCTTGTTTTTTTAGAAAACAAACCAAGTTTTTAAATTTCTATCAGTCACTTATAATTACCACAAAAAGATTCTAAATAATATTATTTTATTCTAAATGAAGTCTTCTTTGAGATTATGAAATAAAAAAAATTATTTTTTCATATTTTCCAATTCAGGCGTTCTGTTAAATTACACTATTCTTATAGAAAATGATTTTTTATAAATTCTTGTTTATTGTAAAAAATTATTTGTCTCATATATTTTTAGGTATACACGTAATTATGGACACAATTATGGAAGGAGCTGTAGATGCTAATAAAAATTATGATTCTAAAGGAATTAAAAGAGGAATGTGTCAACAGTGTGACTGTCCTGAATTTGAGTGGCTTCCTTCACATGCTTTGAGTATATGCACTTATTGTGGATGCCCCCCTGCGAAACACGCGAAAATTTCGATTGAAATTGATCATCATTTACCTTCTACTAGCAATGGAAGTTTTGACAAATCAACCTCAAAAAAAACAATTGGAACAAAAAAGTCTCTGCTGTTACAAACGTCACAGAAAAATTTAGAAGTGAGAATTTTTTTTGTACTATAAAATAGATTTTTGAAATAACTAAATTTTATAACAAATTTTTTTATTTACGAGAATTTTCGATTATTGCACTTTACATTAGTTTGTATTTGAATTTGTCCAGTCATAAAAAGTATAAATGCTTTAATTTTTATTTAACCAAAGTTTTTATTAATAAATAATGATAGTATATATTTCATTTGAAAATTTACAGTCAGGTATTTATTTTTTATTTCTTTTTAGTGTTGTTTGTACTAAATAAATTTTTAAATTAATATAGTTTTATTTAATTGTGTCTAATTATGTCTGAATTTATTTCAAAAAATGAATACTTTCTCATGTATGAGGAAAATGTAAAAATTAATAATGATTTATATATTTTTAGATTGATCTACATTCATTAATTCCTAAATCATTTCCTCATGAAATTGACAGACTACTTCAAAATGGTGTAGAACTTAAAGCTACAGAAATAAGTACAATTGTCAGATTAGTATGTTTGAACATGCACGAGAAAGGAGTGACAGAGTCTCATCATGTGGATGAAATGTCCGTTTTATTAACAAATAAATACTCCACTTTAAAGGGACCTTATGGAAGTGGACATGTTAGTATACTTGCACTACGATTCTATTTACGCCTTATAATGTTCATTCATTTCCATTTATCCATCTATTTCACTAATAAAAATATATTTATCTATTTATTTCACATATTACTACATTTATTTATTAAATTGTAAAATTAAACATGTTCTTACAAAAATACAATCTTTTTTTCTAAATTTTATTTTTGAATAAGAATTTCTGAAACGTACAACCAAAATATGAAAAAAAAAGTTTTTGTTGAAATGTTATTTTTCTTATAGCATTTTATATGCACAATCACCCCCTAAAACGATTTTGAAAAAAAATTTGTTAACAAGTCTTGAATTATAGTCTTAATGATATTTTTTTGTATAGAAATCATAAGTTTTATTACAAAAATAATTTTTGGAATTTCAGCTGATGATTAAAGAAAAAATGAAATTTAATTTACAATATTTAAAAAAACATAAAAGGAAGGAAACCGAGGATAACACAGAGCATGATGCCTTTTGTCAGGAGATGGCAAAAGAGGCATCAACAACTGAAGATGTCAATTTAGGAAAACTACAATCGCTACTTGACAAGACACGTCATGTACGCCTAAAAACGGTCAATAGCATGAGTGCAAAAGATTTATTAAAAATGTATCCTGCTTTAAGGAATCCTGATCTGGTAAATTTTGTTAAATTTTATCTTTTTCTTAAATCAAAATTAAATGTAAGGCTAAAGTTTATAACGTTTTTTAAAAACCAAAAATTTTAATGAAAATATTTTTTGCTAGTCACTTAATTTCTAATTTTAATTTGTTCGTAAACTTTTAATGAATTAATCTTTTAATAAGAAATAAACTCCAGAATATCTTTAATTTGAAATCAAATATTTTTCAATATTTTTTTTATATGTCAATTAATTTCTAATATTAATATGCTTATAAACTTTCAAGAAATTAATTCTTTAATAAAAAAAATTACCTCAGAATAACTTTTTTAAGTAATAGTAATAAATATTGTTTAATTATTTTTTCGTTTGTAATAAATTGACTGACTCTAAATTTGTTGCAATATTTTGAATCATTATGTATTCATCTTTTATTTAGTTGCTAAGAGAACTTTCAAAATTAGTGGATTTACCTGTTGGGACCATCAGGAGTAATTGGATGCAAGCAGTTCCAAATATAATTAAAGCAATGAAGGTTCAAGTTCCTGCCGATGGTACCAATAACGGCACTTGTATTCATTTACTTCTAAATTTGCCGAAATTATTTTTAAAGGCGAAAGAGACTGGAAGAATTTATCGCGCTTATCCGGTATATTATTCTTTTCTTTAACTCCTTGTAATAACTCTAAGGCTAACTTTAAATTTTGATTTTCATAATATTCATATAAAATTCGCAAGTAATTAATGTTCTTTTTTTAAAATAGCACAATAAAAATATAATATGATGATATTGTTAATAAAACAATTTCTTTTTTAGAGAGGTTCAACTTTCGCTGAACTTATTCCGAATCATGATGAGCCTCCTTCTCTCTTGGCAATTGCAGATTCTAATACATCTTTTGATTCTCTCGAACTAATGTGCCACGTGGACGGCGAAACATTATTCAAGGCGCTTGCTTTTGATGCTGTTCTGTATCTAATTTCAGCCTATTGGGTTTTCAATATTTCTTTCCCTCCTAACGCAAAATTGCAATATTCATTCATTTCTATTGCAATTTTGCGTCAAGCAGGAATAAAACAAATGAAAAACAATGTGTTAAAATCAATTGTATTACATAATGCTTTAAGAGATTCTCATCTCTCATCAAAGTGATTTTCCTTTTTGCTGATCTTTGTGTCAAGTTTCTTTTTTTATTTCTTAGCTCACATCGGAGTAGTTTTTTTATTTCTTGATCTTTTTGTTCAGTTTATTTAATTCTTATTGCTCAGCTCATTTCTCATTTGTTGATCTTTGTGTTTAGTTTATTTTTTAATTTTATTATAAATCATTTGATTATAAATAAATATTATTTTCAAAAATTAAAAAATGTTTTTCTTCGGAATTTGAGATATTAGTTTTCGTACCTAACTTCGACGTCTCTCGTTCATAATATCGTATATTAAAAAATAATAAAAAACTAAAATAGAAAAATAAATAAAGAAAATAATAAATAGAAAGTATAATATAAAATTTATGGATATTATTTTTTATTTATGCTTTAATTATTTTTTATATGTATTTTTTTATATTAATAATTATTAATCATTAATTAATTTTTAAGAAGTTTAAAAAAACAACATTCGTTTTTAGCACAAACGAAATTATACTTTTTTTTACCTAGATTAAAAGTTAATTCAAGATACAATTATATTTATTTATTATTTATTTAAATTTTTTTTACGATTTTATTGAACTGAGCTATCAGTCTATTACCAGTTTTAGATCCATTCCTTATAAATAGCAAATAATAATACAATTAATAAATAATAAAAAATAAATAAACAAAGATAATAAATAAATAAGAAGTATTTTTATTTACACGTTGCTAATACAAATTTTTGTTTCATTTAAATTTGTATTTACAACTTGTTATTTACTTTTTATCTTATTTATGTTTGAAGTGGAAATTTAAAAAATTAAATTGAATTTTAAATACGTTTTAATACACTTGTTACTTTTTTAAATAACAAAGGATTGTTTGACTATATTTCATGAAAAGAACATTTAAAATAAGCGCGCTCCAAGTGCGCATGCGTATTTGCCAGTGACAAAATGCGAAGGCAGCCGAAGTGTGCTCGTGCTATTACGAATCATTTTACAATTTTCTGTGAGTAAAATGATGAAATTACTTGCAACAAACTTTACTCTTCTTTTTTTTCTGTGAGGTTATGAATCAATTTTTCACTCATCTCTTAAATACTTTCTCAAAGAAGTATATCTCAGTTATTGTAAAGAATTAGTTAAATGTACATTTCTTTAATAAACAGTTTAACGATGAATGCGATGAATGCTGAAAACAAATCGGTAAGTTAAAATGTTTATTAAAGAAATGTACATTTAACTAATTCTTCACAATAACTGAGATATACTTCTTGGAGAAAATATTTGAGAGATGAGTGAAAAATTGATTCATAACCTTAAATTCATATACATATACTTTCTTAAAAATTGGCTTATGATTTAATATTTTTATTAGGTTATTTGCATTTGGTGCAATAAAGTAATTAAATTCAATGCGGAAGCATTGAAGCACAAATGCTTTTTAAATTACGAGTGAAGAATTAGTTAAATGCACATTTCTTTAATAAACATTTTATATTTTACCGATTGGTTTACTGAATATTATTAAACAATCAGCTTTCTATCACTATTTCCTATTGTTTTTAGATATTAGACAAATTTTAGTTACATTATATTTCTTAAAAAACATTTTCTATTGGGATCTGAAATCTTGTGTAACTACTCAACCCTGAACCCACTTGCGGCAACCATCTTGCTGTTTTGTCTCTTTCTTTATACATATGTTAGACAGAGACAAAATAAAAAATGGCTACCGCAAGTGGGTCGACACCAGATGGCGTATTGCAGTATTTCAGATCCCAATTCAAAACAATTCAAAAATACCCGCCTGAAAATAGTTTTTTACGCATTTTCACCTTTCATAAAATTTGTCCAGTAAATCGTTGATCGAAAAGAAAAGAGGTATAAAAGCACCTTTAAGGTACATGCACAGCTTTTTTCGCCAGCTGCGCGTGCAGCCAGCCGATCTTTTCCGCGAAAAATTTGAATTTAAATAAAATTTAAGATTTGTTTTTAATGATTATTATTAAACATAAATAAAATAAAATAGAATCACTGCAATATTATTAATTTAAGGTGAAATGGGAATGAATGTAGTAAAAAAAATGTATTTTCCTGTAATGTGACGCAACGCAAGCATGGAAGCAATGCCTTACACATATTACAGAAAAATACACTTTTTTACCACATTCATTTTCATTTGACTTAAAAATAACAATAATGCTGTACTTCTATTATCTTTTATTTATTTTTATTAAGAATTTGCATTAAAAACAAATATTTAATTTTATTTAAATTCAAATCTACCGCGGAAATGATCAGCTTGATGTACAGGAAGCTGGCGAAAAGAGCTGTGCATGTACCTTAAGGTGCTTTTATACCTCCTTTTTTTGGATAAGATGAAAAAATTTCTGGACCGTGAAAATGCGAATAAGTGAATGTGATTGGCTCTTCAGAAAACTACGTGAAAATGGAATTTTTGTAGAGCCAATCACATTCACTGATACGCATTTTCACGGTTCAGAAATTTGTTCATCTGATCGAAAAAAGGAGGTACAAAAGCACCTTTAGATCGGATGCGGATAGATAAGTTTCCGTAACCGTATTTATTGTGCGTTAAAAAGAAGGTTACGGAAACCTTTGACGACTGTTGATAAGGGTGCGATCCCATGCGAGCAGAAAACGTCGATCGAAAGCAGAAAATCATGAGAGTGAAAAGGACAACAATATCTACCTAGCTCTTTTGCTCTCATTATTTTCTGCTTTCGATCGACGTATTCTGCTCCTCGCATGGAATTACACGCTAATGTTTCCCGCAACCGTGTTTTCAGCGCACAATAAAAACGGTTGCTGGAACTTACATGTCCTGCATCCGACTTACGTACACGAAGCAGTCGTGCTGCCTTTAAGGCACACTCACAGCTCAATGCTAGCCAGCGCTAGCAGATGCAACGAGTAAAGAGTAAGGGAGTCAGAGAATTCAAATTAATGCTTTTTCTCCCTTAAGGTACTCGCACAGCTCGATGCTAGACAGCGTTAGCAGCAAAGACGCAACGAGAGTAAGGGAGAAAAAGCATTAATTTGAATTCTCTGACTCCCTTACTCTTTAGTCGTTGCGTCTGCTAGCGCTGGCTAGCATTGAGCTGTGAGTGTGCCTTTACTCTCGTTGAGTCTTTGCTGATAAGGCCTGAAGGCGGTTCCAGAATATGTGCAAAAGCCAAGTACAAGTGCAAGTCCAAGTGGCAATCTCATAAGTGCGAAGAGGATAGGTAGTCTATCTGTCTCTCTTTCACTCATGGGATTTGCATTTGGACTTGCACTTGTACTTGGCTTTTGCACCTATTGTAGAACCTCCATGAGCAGAATAGAAACGTAACCGGAATCGTAATCGTAAACGCAACCGGAAGAATAAGTTAGAGAAGGACAAACAATCTATCTATCCTTCTCTAACTCATTCTTCCGGTTGCATTTGCGATTACGATTCCGGTTACGTTTATATTCTGCTCAGGCCTATAGCGCTGGCTAGCATCGAACTGTGCGAGTACCTTTAGGCAACAAGACACGAGAGTGCCATAATAATTTGAATTTGCGAGAGCCAATTACATTCTCTTATCTCACCTCTCCCAAACTTCCCCTTATTGTAAAAAATTTCCGGTCGGCGTCTAACGGCATGCTCTCAGTTTCTAACTTCTGTTTCTGAATGTCAGTAAGCTACACTTTTTGTCTCTCGTTGCTTGCAAAAAAATAGACATGTCGATTACCCACGCATTTGTATCTTACATCGTAGATAACAATAAAGAAATTGTGGAAATAGAACGAATAAAACACTTTAACTGCAAGAAGAAAGAAGATTTTGTAGAGCCAGGAGGGAAAGCATTCAAAGTGATGTGGTTCGATGTGAATGAAAATGACTGGTTTATCTACGATGCTCTCGTGCACTACGTGGGAGGTAAGTAAAAAAAAATATATTGAACAAATAATTTTTGTAAAATAATTGAATATTTTTTGGAAGTATAGAAACAACCATATTTCTAACCTATAAACCAAAAGTTTGGCAGAATAAGATGGTTTCACAATTTGGCCAGTTAAAAAAAATAGATTTTTAATAGATATATTAACTAATTATTGATTTATTAAGTTAATTAATTTTTTTTACAGAGAAAAATTGCCAAAAAAATTATTTCTATCCCAAAAAGAAATTGTTGCGATGAGGAAATAATTTTTTTGGCAATCTTTCTCTGTAAAAAATAATTAATTAACTAATTATTGATTTATTTAGTTAATTAATTTTTTTTACAGAGAAAAATCGTCAAAAAATTTATTTCTAGCCCAAAAAGAAATTGTTGCGATGAGAAAATAATTTTTTTGGCAATTTTTCACTGTAAAAAATAATTAATTAACTCAATAAATCAATAATTAGTTAATTTAATATTTTTTACAGAGAAAAATTGTCCAAAAAAATTATTTCCTGCCAAAAAAATTGTTTCCATAAGGAAATAATTTTTCTGACACTTTTTCTCTGTAAAAAAATTAATAAACTCAATAAATCAATAATTAGTTAATTAAATATTTTTTTACAGAGAAAAATTGCCAAAAAAATTATTTCTATCCCAAAAAGAAATTGTTGCGATGAGGAAATAATTTTTTTGGCAATCTTTCTCTGTAAAAAATAATTAATTAACTAATTATTGATTTATTTAGTTAATTAATTTTTCTCTGTACAAAATAATTAATTAACTAATTCTTGATTTATTTAGTTAATTAATTTTTCTCTGTAAAAAATAATTAATTAACTAATTATTGATTTATTTAGTTAATTAATTTTTTTTACAGAGAAAAATTGCCAAAAAATTTATTTCTAGCCCAAAAAGAAATTGTTGCGATGAGAAAATAATTTTTTTGGCAATTTTTCACTGTAAAAAATAATTAATTAACTCAATAAATCAATAATTAGTTAATTAAATATTTTTTACAGAGAAAAATTGTCCAAAAAAATTATTTCCTGCCAAAAAAATTGTTTCCATAAGGAAATAATTTTTCTGACACTTTTTCTCTGTAAAAAAATTAATTAATTCAATAAATCAATAATTAGTTAATTAAATATTTTTTTACAGAGAAAAATTGCCAAAAAAATTATTTCTATCCCAAAAAGAAATTGTTGCGATGAGG